ATGTAGTGGAGTAGAAGTAAAAGTATTAAATTAATCAAAAATATGTAATAGAGTAAAAGTAAAAGTATGGAAAAAAATATATAATCCAATGAAGTACAGATACTGCATTTTGGTACTTAAGTCCAGTACTTAACCCTTTAAAGCCTGATCCAAGAAAAATAGGAAGAATATTGGATTTTTTTTAGTCTGAAGTCTTTCTTTGGCCCCTCAACAACATATGAAGAAAAAAAACAGAAATTATTTGATCAAATTAGCGTGCAATAAGTCAGAAATCTATGTTGGTGTAGTCTTCTACTGGCTGTTATCAGGTATATCTGAATGTGTACAACAGGGGTTTGAGCAAAGCTTTTACCACTGAATGATGCACAAAGTCTCACATCCAAAAGACTTCAGAAACCGTATGAATCAAATATAATATATTTGGCATTATAGGGTTAAGTAGCTCTACTTTGATACTGTACATCTCTACTGAAATGAAACTATGAGTGGTTACAAACTCACTTCTTTATTTTCTCCAGGATGTTGGCCATCCTTCCGAACAGATTCTGTAAGAACAAAAGCAACAAAAATAGTAAAACCCTGTGAGTGTTGGGAGTTTTTTATTTTTTATTTATTTTTTTTAGCTTTGGAGGCCTTTCCCGTCCCACCTGAGCTTTTTGAGCCACGTCCAGAACCAGCTGGAACTTCTCCGACACCGTCAGGTCTTCCTTTGGGGGGTCCTGCAAAACAAAATGGCCGCCGCTGAATGCCTGAACAGATGCTGGTTAATCACGGAAACCAGTATTTAAATATATCTGTCTCTGAGAGGTGTAAACTTCTGCAGGATTAGTGGCACCTGGGCAGGTTTATTCATAATAGTAATAATAATAATAATAATAATAATAATAATAATAATAATAATAATAATAATAATAATAATAATAATAATCCTATTAGCATTTAAAGAGTGACATTTAAGAAACAGATTTTTTGTTTGTTTAAGCAATTGCCTATTTGATATTTGTCTACTTGCTGTGAAATTGAAAATGAATAAAAATATTCTTTAAAACATTTAAAATAAATAAATAAATGAATGAATGAATAAATAAATACATTTCTTGTTTGTTCAAGCCACTGCCTATTTGATATTTGTCTACTTGCTGTTAAATTGAAAATGAATACAAATATTCTTTAAAACATTTAAGATAAATAAATAAATAAATAAATAAATAAATAAATAAATAAATAAATAAATGAATAAATAAATAAATAAATAAATAAATAAATAAATTTCTTGTTTGTTTAAGCCATTGCCTATTGGATATTTGTCTACTTGCTGTGAAATTGAAAATGAATTCTTCTTTAAAGTATTAAAATAAATATGAAAATAAATCAATACAAATAAATAAATAAATAAATGAATAAATAAATAAATAAATAAATAAATAAATAAATAA